CGTGCCCCATGGACCCTTTCCCGCTGCCAAATATGGACCAACTGGTGGATGAAACGGTGGGATGCGAAATCAAGTCATTCCTCGACGCCTTCCGCGGATATCACCAGATCTTCATGCACGAGGAAGACGCTGAAAAAACAGCCTTCATGACTCCCGAAGGCATATTATGTTATCTAGTCATGGCCTTCGGCCTGAAGAACTCCGACGCCACTTACACCCGGATGGTGGCCAGGGTTTTTCAAGCCGTCCTCGGGCGCACCATGGAGGCCTATGTTGACGACATGATCGTCAAAAACAAACAATCATCAAGCCACGCTGACGACCTCCGGGAGATCTTCGCCATCATGCAAAAATTCAACCTTCGGCTAAACCCGAAGATATGCACCTTCGGCGTGCAAGGAGGCAAATTCCTAGGCTACATGGTGAGCCGAAGGGGTAGCAAAGCTAACCCCGAGAAAATCCAGGCCATCATCAACATGGAGCCCCCACACAACGTAAAGGAGGTTCAGCGGCTGACGGGCCGCCTAGCAGCCCTCAACTGCTTCCTGTCCAAGTCAGCGGAAAAGCCCCTCCCCTTCTTCCAGATCATGAGGAAGACCGCCGGCTTCCAGTGGATGTTAGACTGCCAGGAGGCCTTCGATGAGCTGAAAAGGTACTTATCTTCACCCCCTGTGCTCTCCAAACCCAAGGTGGGGGAGACCTTATACCTTTACCTTGGCGTTAGCCTTGCTGCCATCAGCTCAGTGCTAATCCGGGAGGAGCATGGCATCCAGCATGCCATCTTCTATGTTAGCAAGACCCTCAGGGAGGCGGAACTCAGATATTCTCCCGTGGAAAAAACGGTGCTAGCCGTCGTTTGGACCGTCAAGAAGTTGGGCCATTACTTCCAAGCCCATCCAGTCCAAGTGCTCACACACCAACCCCTCGGCGCCCTCATGAGGAGCCCCACTAGCTCCTCTAGAATGGTGAAATGGGCGATCTTCCTCATCCAGTATAACATCGACGTCCGCCCGAGGCCCGCCATCAAGGGCCAAGCCCTGGCAGACTTTGTGACGGAGTGCACGACAAGGTCAGCAGTAGATGAGGAGCCCTCGGCACCCTCGGATGAATGGTGGACCCTCTATACCGACGGCTCCTTAGCCACCAAAGCATGCGGAGGAGGGGTAGTTCTCATTACTCCCGAAGGCTTCCGTGCCTATTATGCCATCCGCTTTTCCTTCAAAGTCTCCAACAACGAAACGGAGTATGAGGCCCTCCTCTGTGGCCTTCGGCTGGCCGCTAACATGAAGGCCAGACAGGTCCATGTGAAGTGCGACTCCAAGTTAGTCATCGGCCAAATTTCGGGGGAGTACGAGGCCAAGGAAGGGAGAATGAAATCGTACAAGGAAGCGGCCAAGGAGATGCTTAAGGTATTTGAGGCACACACTCTCACTCAAATACTGAGGGCTCAAAACTCTGAGGCTGATATCTTATCAAAACTCTCGGCCGAATAACAGGAACACCTCTTGAAGATTGCGAGAATTGAGGAACTCAGCCTCTCAAGCATACACGCGAGCCCCATCATGCAAATACAACATAGGCTTGAGGACTGGATATCAGATATCGTGAACTTCATCTCAACAGGGCAGCTGCCCGAGGATGAAACTCGCGCCAAACTGGCAAGGCTGAGGGCTCTCAGCTACACCATCGAAGACGGGAGGCTTTACAAGCGATCTTATAACGACACGTTACTCCGGTGCCTTCATCAAGATTAAGCCAAAGTCGCTATGGAGGAAGTACACAATGGCACTTTCTCAGCCCACCAAGGACCTTTCTCCATGTCCCGAAGGCTCATAGTGTAAGGCTACTTCTGGCCTACAATGGCCCGGGACTGTGCGGACCTCGCTCAAAAGTGCGCCGCATGCCAACATTTTCAGAAGGCTCCCGATAGACCAGCGGTCAACTATGCCCCCATCAGAACAACAATACCCTTCTCCAGGTGGGGAATTGACCTTATGGGCCCACTGCCGAGGGGTACCTCTAACAACAGGTACATCATTGTTGCCATTGACTACTTCACCAAATGGGTGGAGGCGAAACCCCTCGCCAATATTACCGAAGCCAGATGCCGTCATTTTGTCCTCAAAAACATCCTCACGAGGTTTGACGTCCCCCAACAAATCATCTCCGATAACGGGACTCAGTTTGAGGCAGTCCCCTTCTACACCCTTCTGAAGGCATGTGGCATCAAACACACATTTTCATTTGTTGCCTATCCTCAAGGCAACGGGTGTGTGGAGAACGCCAACCGAACTCTCCTTGAGGGCCTAAAGAAGAATCTGGAAGCCGAAGGTGGAGGCTGGGTAGAAGAGCTTCACAACATCTTATGGGCCTATCGCACCACCCCTCGGCGGGCAACAGGCGAGACACCCTTCTCCCTTTGCTACGAGTTCGAGGCCAAGGCTCCCACGGAAGTGACCCTTCCTACCCGAAGGGTGGCCCGATATGATCCCGAAGTCAACGATGCCAACATGGCCCTCAACCTTCACCTGATCTCAGAACGCCGAGAGTAAGCCTTCCTAAGGGCTGAAAACTACTGAAGGCAAGTAAAGGGCTACATCGATGCCAAAGTCCGCTCCCGAGAATTCCAGGTGGGGGACTATGTACTCTGCAGGAGAGAAGCCAGCCTGCCGACCGAGGGCGGCAAAATGGCACCAAATTTCGAAGGCCCCTACATCGTTGCAGCCATCATCAAACCAGGGACGTACAAGCTCAAACGCCCCAATGGGACCGAGGTCCCTAGACATTGGAATGTGCACCATCTGGTCAAATTCTATCAGTAGCGTATTGATAAGTTCATATTTCAACACGCATTTGATGTGTGTAGGAGTCGGATTTTGATGGTTTTCCTCGCTTTTAGGCATCATAAGTGTCATATTTAGCTCAAGTCATGTTAGTCAGGTGTTGGAACGAGTTTTGGCATTCTAAAGTTGAGATCAGGTCGTTGAGAGCCCGGAATCGGAGCTTTAGGAGTGATCGGGATGAGTAGAGGTATGTTCGAGAAAGAATTCGGAATTTTGAAGGTCACCGAGAGGTTCGCGATGAAGTTTCAATAAAGAAAGAGCTTTTGGATCAATCACGGGAGCAAACGGGAGCATCTTGGAGCAAGAAATAAGGAAACATGAAGAAAAGTGCCACGCTCGCCGAGCGTGGCTGGTACGCTCGCCGAGCGAGCGAGGCAGAGAGTTAAAAGAGAAATTTCGTATCCACGCTCGCCGAGCGTGGCTGGTACGCTCGCCGAGCGTAATTCCGTGACACGAGCTTGCTCCGCACGCTCGAACGCCACGCTCGCCGAGCGTGGACGCCGAGCGCGGTTACGGGAGTCCTAAATCAGCCCAAATTTGATTGTTTCCTATAAATATCACCCCCTAAACACAATTAAAGGGGGATGGAACTTTAGAGAGAGATTAAGGACGAGATTAGAGAGCTTTTCAGCCAGGTTTATCAATTCCTTAACATTCTTTGTAAATTCCTACTTTTTGATTAATGACAATTAATTCTATTTATCCCAATTCCATTGATTCTTCAATTATGAATAGGGAGTAGTTTTAATTAGGGATTTGGGGTTGATGAAGGGGTTAATCATGATGTATGGTTAGGTTCTTGATGGTGTAAATTGCATGAATGACGTTTAATTTGTGTTTGAATAATTTAATTGATATCTTTTGTAACCTAGAATGGCCACTAGAATTACAATTGCTTATAGAATAAATTAAGAGAGATCTAATTTGTTCTAGGACACATTCACACACACTTAATCGTTCGCTAAGAGATTAGTAGCGATTAAGGGACCGTAAGCTCGTTCGTCTTGGCAATAATTTAGGATCCTGTCGCATGAGAGATCAGCCTGGTCCCCTAAATTATTGTACTCTACGCCGCGAGAGCGGTAAGAACTTAGTATTGATTAGCTAGGCTCAATTAAATTAAATTCATGTAATTAAGCCTGATCTGCCAGAAATCTGATTACCCCGGAATCAATCCCTGTTCCCTTCGTTGTTAATTAAGAAGAACCCAATCATTTACTTTTAATCGCTTATTTGCAATTTTAGTTTTCTCAAGAAACCAATTCTCGCACGACCGCATTTGTTTTATTTATTTTTATCGCTGATTTTAGTTAATTCTTAATTCCTTTTACCGTCCCTGTGGAGACGATACTCGTACTTTCACCGCTATATTACAATCTTTTTAAGTGCGAGAAAACTCACATCAGTTTTTGGCGCCGTTGTCGGGGACGGTGTCGGTTTTAAGAGTTAATTAATTTCAGCGAGATTTTTTTTAGTTTGATTTTCTTTAGTTTTCCGTAGGATTTTTCTGTACTAACCTCTCAGGTATTTTTCTAAGAGGCATGAGATGAACCCATTCAGCCAAATTCCTGGAGGAATTCCTTACCCTCAAACCTCCATGGAATATTCACCATATACGCCATACCCTCCTTACACTCCTCCTCCTCAATACTACACAGCTCATCAAAATTATTCTCCAACACCACAAAATCTTCATCTATCATATTCATATCATCCAACCACGCAACCCTTTATGCCTAAGAATAATATTTGTTCCTTCTGTGGAGAATGCCACCATATATCTTTTTGCCTCGTTAAACCTCCATATGACCATCCTTACTGGGCAACTGCATACCCCACTTCATCCTCCCCACAACTTACAGACACAAACGTTTCATCCACTCCTACATACTTCCCGAGTAATGAGCCTCATGATCAACAAGAGGAGGCAGATTTAAAGAGACTTTCTAGCTTGGAAGAAGTGCTCAATCAATTAGCGCAAAATCAACTGAGGGCGGACTCAAGGATGCAGAACATGGAGAATCAATTGAGGCAGATTGCAAAGGCTTTATCTGAGGAGTCTGAGAGATCCCATCCTAGCGACATAGAAGCCCAACATGAGGAGACCAATATGGATGATCATGGGAGTGAGTCAGACAATGATGGTGGGAATATGATGGATGATACACTTCCTAATGATGTTGAAGACTCACCTATGTTTGAAGATGAAGAAGAAGATAATAGTGTCAAGTTGTTTTTCGAAGAATACATGAAAAAGTTTGTAACGGCACAAGATGTAACGCATGAAGTTACAAATCACTGTGATTTCCATACAGAAACTCACCAGCCGTTTGATTTACCATTAGTCTCAACAACTGAGGAGGGCAAGGAGAAGATCAGTCATGATGATGGTGCTAATGGGGTAGGTTTGGGTATTGAAGATGAGTTGGGAAAAGATAATCACGAGCTCCAAGAGAGTGATAGCAAGGTAGATGATCTCCATGACGAAGAAGTCTCTCTCCACATACAAGATTACTCCTCTTACGATAGTCCAGGTTTGGATTTCTTTTATTCACTCCTTGAGGATGATATTGTTGGAAATATGATGATATAAACATTATTTTTAGGGTCACATTATTGTGTCCTAAGATATAATTGTATTAAATATGGAGAGGTGGCTAATAATACATCAAAGAATAACTAACATTTTTGGATTTAAAATTTGAATCCATAGTTGTAAAGATTGTAAAGTGATGTATTAAATCAATGATTTTATTTGTTTCATATTAGAGGCTGAATCGTCTCGTATGATTATTTATAATCATTATATGATAAGGAGCATTGTTCAAGTATCATATAAGGTGAAGTGACATTTTAATTTTCACTTGTATGTGCGTCTGACCGGACATATTATAAGTGATGGAATTGATGTCGAGATTCTAGAGACTCTCTAATTGTGTGAACAATATAATGTAATAGCTGATAGGATTTTAAATTGAATTCAAATTCAAAATAATTATCCTTAATGCTATTAATGGGATTCATAAACATGGATCAGTTTTGCCATTTACTTCTCATGTTTTAAAACTGATTTTTGATTTCCGTTAGTGTTAGCACGATCCCTCTGCCTCCTTGGTTCTAGATGTATATATATACATAGGCCACCCACTCCATGGAATAAGTTTTGATTGTGCTCTCACGTACAAAGAAAGAAAAGAAAATCACTATTCTTAACTATTCTCTTTAGATCATACGTACACAAATATTGTTGTGAGTGGGTTTTTCCTCTATTAGCTTTTCCTTTCCAAGAGGAGCACATATAATTTATATATATAGTATACTTTTCATAATTGTTCAAGTCTACTCTATCACTTGGCAAATTTGGCAACGGTCGAAGGTTTCAGTCAAGGTAGCTACACGCCTGAAACGTGGTAGGATTATCCTGGGAGCGAGCTAGCCAGACTCGTCCGAATAGCTATCGGGATACGGGGGCTATCTTTCTTCAAGGCCAGTCCGTTTTAACGGACGATCCTGCGATAAGTTTTTCTTATCTATTCTCTTTGTTCATTTTTAATTATTCTAATAATTATTATTTTTTATTTGTTCTTGCATTTGGTGGTTTGTCTGGTGATTTGTTTAAACTCGGGATTTTTATCTGGTTAAACTCGCATTTTAATATCATTTTTCTAACAATCTTGAAGAAAGATTTTATTTCTCGAGTTTTGGAAAATCCAAAAATGGCAAACTTGGAAAATGCTGTTATTTCCGAAAATGTTGTTCAGAATGATGTGAATGATATCCCTCAAAATAATGTAAATTCTGTGTCTGTGACTAACTGTGGAGACACATCTGAATATGTTGCTACGGGCTCGCACATGGTTGATTTAACCGGAATGCCGGAAAAATTTTCTGGGAATTTTTTCAAGCGTTGGCAACAACGCATGAAAATTTGGTTAATCACCAAGGGCTTGCTCTCGACAATTATGACGGTGTGTCCCCCTGTTGTTGAATCGGATCCCAAAAGTCTTGAACGCCAAGCTTTATGGCGTGAGAGGAATGAAATTGCAAAAGGCATGATTTTGTTGGGTCTCTCCGACATGTTATTTGATGTCTATTGCACCCTCCACGGCACGGCTAAGGACATTTGGGATGAGTTGGATAGGAAATATAATACTGAGGACCACGGTCTTGAAAAATATATTGTTTCTAAATTCCTACGATTTGACATGAAAGAAGGTAAATCGGTGTTAGAACAGACACAAGAATTTGAGCTCATCTTACATTCTCTTCGTGAAGCGGATATGGAATTGCCTGAAAAATTTAAAGTGATGGCGGTCATAGAAAAATTTCCCAAATCTTGGGAAGATTTTGGTATGACTTTAAAACATAAAATGAAAAAGATCACTTGGAAATCTTTGATGCATTCCATTACTGTTGAGGAGGAACATAAGAAAGCGGGTTATATTGCGCCTGTTGAATTTCAACCGAAGGCTCATGTTATAACTGGGGGGAAGCAAGCACATAACTCTAAAAATAAGCAACCATCATCTTTTAAACCAATAAAGGCCAAATTAAAAATTACAAAGAAACCAAAAGCAAACCGTCCATGCTGGAACTGTGGACAGATGGGGCATTGGGCCAAATTGTGCCCAAATAAAAAGGCTAAGGCTCAATCTGGTGGACCTCAAGTCAACATGGTGACTAGAGGAACTAGTTCCGATGGGTATGTTTCTTTTAACCCTCAAGTTTTCACTATTTATAATTCCAATGAGTGGCTAATAGATACAGGAGCGAATGCGCATGTATGTGCTGATAAATCGCTCTTTGTTTCTTATCAGCCTGCGGTTGGAAGAACAGTGATGATGGGAAACACAAGTGCTGCTAGTGTGCATGGAGTTGGAAAAGTAGAAATAAAATTCCCTTCGGGAAAAATTCTTACTTTGCATAGAGTGCATCACGTTCCCGAAATTAGAAGGAACATTGTTAGTGGTTCCATTCTAGTTAGGGAGGGATATGAATTGTCTTTTAAATTAAATAAAGTTGTAATTTTATTTGGTGGACTTTTTATTGGCAAGGGTTACTTGTCAGATGGACTTTTTAAGATTGTGGTTGATTATTTGGAATTAAATTATATATCTGAGAATTGTGATTCTTCTTGTTTATGGCATTGTCGTTTGGGTCACGTTAATTTAGATTCTGTAAAAAGAATGATGAATTTAAATTTAATCCCTAAACACTCTATTGATAAAACTAAGAAATGTATGGTATGTGCTACAACTAAACAAGTAAGAAAACCTTATCATTCAATTGATAGAAATTCAGAATTACTTGATTTAATTCATACCGACATTTGTGAGTTTAATGGAGTGCTTACTCGTGACCAAAAGAAATACTTTATCACTTTTATTGATGATTATTCTAAATATTGCTATGTGTATCTACTTAAGGGTAAAGATGAAGCTCTTGAAAAAATCTTAATTTTTAAGAATGAAATAGAGAATCAAACTGGCAAGAAAATTAAAAGGTTAAGATCTGATAGGGGAGGAGAGTATACTTCTAATTTAGTTGTACTAGAATGCCAAAAATATGGTATAGTACATGAAGAAACACCTCCTTATTCACCACAATCAAATGGAGTAGCTGAACGGAAAAATAGAACTTTTAAAGATATGATTAACAGTTTATCAGAGAATTCTGGATTACCAAAGTTTATGTGGGGGGAAGCCTTGAATACTGCATGCCATATTCTGAATAGAATTCCCATGAAACATAAAGATAAGTGTCCATTTGAACTCTTGACGGGCCGAAAACCAAGTTTGAAATATTTTAAAGTGTGGGGCTGTCTTGCAAAAGTTTTAGTCCCTGAACACAAAAGAAAGAAACTTGGGCCTAAAAGTGTTGATGCTATTTTTATTGGTTATGTTGAACATTCTTATGCATTGAGATTTTTGGTTATTAAATCTGAAATTTCTGGCATAGATGTCAATACTATTGTAGAACTTCGTGATGCTACTTTCTTTGAAGATGTTTTTCCAATGAAAACGGGTGTGCCCCAAAATACTTCTTTTAAAAATCAAGAAACCACATTTAATTCAATTCCTGATCAAGTGGAAAAGATGACAAATGTGGGGGTAGAATCTAGTAATTCTAGTCATGTTGATTTTGAATCAAATGATCTGGATGAGCCAAGACGGAGCAAACGTGCTAGGATCACTAAGGATTTTGGAAGTGATTTTATCACTTACAATATTGAGGGTGATCCAATTTCCTTTAGAGATGCAATGGCCACATCCGAGGCTATTTATTGGAAGGATGCCATTAAAAGTGAAATGGACTCGATTGTTCAAAATGGAACATGGGAGCTCGTTGACCTTCCTCCTGGTTGTACCACTATTGGATGTAAATGGATTTTTAAAAAGAAGTTAAAACCGGATGGAACCATTGATAAATATAAGGCCAGATTAGTTGCTAAGGGTTATAAACAAAAAGAAGGTATTGATTTTTTCGATACATATGCTCCTGTTGCAAGAATGACCACGATAAGAATGCTCATAGCATTGGCCTCTGTATACGGTCTTAAAATTCATCAAATGGATGTTAAGACAGCTTTTCTTCATGGTGACCTTGAAGAAGAAATTTATATGGATCAGCCTGAGGGATTTGTGGCAAAAGGCAATGAGAGAAAAGTTTGTAAATTAGTTAAGTCCTTATACGGACTTAAGCAAGCCCCTAAGCAATGGAACGAAAAATTTGATAAAATAATTTTTTCGTTTGGATTTACTCTTATAGATGCTGATCAAAGCGTTTATTATAAATGTAAAGGTGATATAAGCATTATTTTATGCCTATATGTTGATGATATATTATTATTTGGCACTAATGATAATATTATTTTTGAGACTAAGTCATTTTTGAAAACTAAGTTTGAAATGAAGGATATGGGGGTGGCTGAAGTAATTCTTGGGCTAAAGTTGACTAGATCAACTGAAGGCATTTCTATTTCTCAGTCACATTATATTGAAAAATTAATTGAGAAATTTGGATTTAAAAATAGTAGAATTGCTAAAACACCCTATGATCCTTCAGTAGCTTTGTATAAAAATGAAAGTGGTGTTCTTGTGTCTCAATTACGATATTCTCAGATGATTGGTTGCTTGGGTTACTTAGCTAACTGTACTAGACCTGATATTGCATTTTCAGTGTCTAAACTGAGTCGGTACACTTGTTGTCCAAACAGAACTCATTGGGAGGCCTTAAATAGAGTATTTAGATACTTGAAAGGAACTATTTCCTTGTGTTTGCATTATGGTAAATACCCTCCTGTTCTTGAAGGATATAGTGATGCAAGCTGGATAGCTAAGAACTCCGGGAGTTATGGGTGTACTGGCTATGTGTTTACATTTGGTGGTGGGGCTGTTGCCTGGAAGTCCACTAAACAAACTGTACTTTCTCGGTCTACTTTTGAGGCTGAATTATGTGCGTTGGATACTACAGGAATTATGGCTGAATGGTTTATGGGACTAATGTCCGAGTTACCTATATTCAGCAAGCCAATTCCACCTATTTGTTTGCATTGTGATAGTATGAGTACAATTTCAAAAATTAGGAGTACCAAGTATAATCAAAAGACTAGGAGACACATTCAAGTTAGATTAAAAACTATAAGGAAATTTGTGTCTCAAGGGGTGTTTGCTGTTGATTTTGTTGGATCCAAAGATAATACAGCAGACCCTTTAACAAAAGGACTTGATTTAAATCAAGTAATAAAATCAAGGTTAGGAATGGGACTGAAACCCAATAATTATTCATCTACGGTGGCAACCCAACCTATGTGAGTGGAGATCCCATAAAGTAGGTTCAATGTGGTATAAACAAACTGTAGAGTGAATTGTGCATCTCATTAAAATAATTTTATGAGTTCTATTCCTTGATAAGCCTTAGAGATGCTGAAGTTGCTAAGTTAGTAAGAGTTTAAGACTCTGAATGGGATCGAGCTTAATTGCAGAGTGTTAGCAATGCACTCTTGGAGATGCCCAACTATGAGAATGTTATTGTGTGGCCGCAATAAGAGAAGGTGGGTTTATTCTCGATGACATTCTTGAGACAGGATCGGACGCACGGCCGTAAAGCGTCACCCCTATAGATCGTTGCCATTGCCTTTAGTGTGTTGCTTTTATCCCACGCCAACACAATCAAGGTTCGAGTTCAAGAACTCTGTTCACTCAGTTCCTGTGGGGGTTAGGGGTAAGAGCTTAGCATTTGGTTCAAACCGGAAGGTACCATATTCGAAAGCACACTATGTCTTCTAGAGTTGAGTCTACAACTATGGATTTGTGGGGGATTGTTGGAAATATGATGATATAAACATTATTTTTAGGGTCACATTATTGTGTCCTAAGATATAATTGTATTAAATATGGAGAGGTCGCTGATAATACATCAAAGAATAACTAACATATTTGGATTTAAAATTTGAATCCATAGTTGTAAAGATTGTAAAGTGATGTATTAAATCAATGATTTTATTTGTTTCATATTAGAGGCTGAATCGTCTCGTATGATTATTTATAATCATTATATGATAAGGAGCATTGTTCAAGTATCATATAAGGTGAAGTGACATTTTAATTTTCACTTGTATGTGCGTCTGACCGGACATATTATAATAGATGGAATTGATGTCGAGATTCTAGAGACTCTCTAATTGTGTGAACAATATAATGTAATAGTTGATAGGATTTTAAATTGAATTCAAATTCAAAATAATTATCCTTAATGCTATTAATGGGATTCATAAACATGTATCAGTTTTGCCATTTACTTCTCATGTTTTAAAACTGATTTTTGATTTCCGTTAGTG